AGAATATTTACCGTTTACTGTTACGCAAATTTATTATCCAATCAGAATATTTACCGTATTTTTTACTTAGCAAATTACCTTTTTTTTGTTAAGCAAATTAAATGTCCAATCAGAATACTTTATCATATTTGTATCATCAGATATTACCAAAAAAGGAATACAGGCTAAAAGAAAATTTTTTTACGAAAATTTAGAAAATTACTAAAATGAGTTACATAAAATCCTGCATAGGATTTGCATTTACAATATTATATAAAATAGTATTGTATCACTTATTTAAAATTCTAAAATATCTGATCTTTTGTGTAATATATAATTCTTTATATAGTAATTTAATTACTGATTAAATTTATATATATCTTATTAGTATTAATATTTACTTTAAAAGGATATCTGATCCAGATATATAGTTTTAACTTGATCTAATCATCATATAATTCGATTTAATTTAATTATTTAGATTAATATTAGATATTAAAGTATATTTAAAATCCTTTAAAATCTATATTAATACAATCAGATTGGTAAATACCTTAATTGGTCTTAATTGGTTCTAATTAATTTAAAAATTTATTAGTTTTAAAGATTAAATTTTTTTTAAATATTATTATTATTCCTTAAATCATAGAGATTCACAAGTAAAATTATCTACTTATTTATTATAAATTTTCTTTTGATTTACTTTTATAAATAATTAAATTTTAAAATTTTTTTTTTAAATTAATTTTATTTATATAATATAATATATTGTAGTAAGTTTTATTTTTTAATTATATAATAAAAAATTTTAGGTTACTTATAAGCTAATTTTTAAAAAAAATTTAAATTAAAAAATTTCATATTTAATTTATAACAATCTTTTTCAGCTAATATCTAATTGATAATTATTAGGTAAAATTACATAAATCAGATTGCAATCCAGATCCATTCTAATTGAGAAGGAACTAAGATTTATTAAGGAGTCATCTGTGTAAAATTCTAGGAGGATGCAAGAGCTAAATTGAAATCGAATTGTAATTAGTATTTGCATATATAAAAGGGAAATAAATTTTTCTATAAATATAGGAGGAAGAGAAGAAATAAACGAAAGTGTAAATGTGACAGATTGTGGTATACTATGAATATTAATTAATGAGAAGGCTAACCTATTCAGTAAATTAATTGACAATGAGCAGCCATAGGTTGAATTGTGAACATTGTAATTCATTGGAATCTTAAAACATAAATTGATAGGAACTATAAAAAAACATTTTTGAACATTATAATTTGTTTGGTATAAAACGTATGCTTATCGATCATACATAGAACATCAATTACAATCAGAAAGCAATGTTCTATTTTCAGGTCTTTTTGTTGGTAATATGTGTAAAATATATGTATAATGTTCCTCCGTTTTAAGCACTTTTCTAACAAAAGGTTTACTATATCCATAATTTCAACCTAATACGAAAGTTATAATGCTAGCGAGTTTAACTGGCGGAGAGAAATCATAGGTATAATTAATCAGATAAGGATAATTAGAACGTATGACCTAGAATCAACATTGAGTAATAATTTATCCTATAAAATTTTGAACTATCATAGAACCCGTCGAATTAATAGAAATTCTTAGTTGACATTCAGGTCGTAAAAAGTTATCATAGTATTACTATTAGAAAAAACAAATTGTTCAATAAATAAAAGAGAGTATTTCTTAAGATCTGCAGCTATTGATTTATATTCATTAGGAATAACAGAAAATATTGTTGTATTTCCACCTTTAATAAGACATAATTTAACATTAGATAGCTGAGCGGTTATTTGGATTTCTTTTCAACTACATAGTAAAGAAGCAATCAAATCATTCGATCTTGGATATTTAGAAATAGGCCAACTGAAAAGGGACGATATATGAAGTAATTCTTTCTGTTATAATTATTTAATACGCATTTTAGTATTATTATTCAAGATGGTATGATCATTAAGTGAAAATAGTAACGCTTCACTTTATATTACAAGTATTCTATAGTGAAGATTAATCAAATTATAAAATTGCTTCAAATGGAATTCAAAGGATGGTATATCACGTGATAAGTGCAACTTATTTTTCATAAAAGCATGGTATAGAGTATCTATAGCATCATATTGAGCAGCTATAAGAGCAGTCAATTAAGCATAATATTCAATATGGGGAGTCAAGACCATATTAAAAATATAAACTATTTGCTTGTCAGTCATTTTTTTTTTATACATAATTGCGATAGCGTTTTTGATTTCATTTTTCAGTATGTTGATAATAAAAGTCTTATTATGTTCCAAAGAGATCCAAACCCAAGATATCGAGTTGAATCATTGATTGATAATGGTTCAATATTGGTAGGCTAACCATTGATATTACATATAAATGATCAAGTAATATTATTATTAATTTTCTTTTTGTTATTTGTCAAAAGAACTGATTTATCCCAATTAACTTTGATGTGATTCAATTTATAGAAACTCTCAGCGATATTAACGATATCAGCAAGATCATCCTGAGATCTTGCAATCTAAAGAATATCATCTATATATGTAAGTGTCGATGCATTAATAGTAGTTATTTCAGTTTCATTGATCAAAATGTTTAGTTTTCATGTGTGAGACAACGTATATCCATATGAGGAGTTCTGAATTCTACAAAGTAGGGGATCATAATATATGCATCAAAGAAGGGTGATATAATTTCTCCTTAGTCGATTCCAGACATCACTTAATAGGAGTCTATATTTCTAAATTTGATTATCAAAAATTTTAAGGATGAATCAAAGAAAGTTAAAAGGGATGCGTAAACGTTTTAAAGCTCTAATAAGTATAAAAATATTAACACAATTATATGCCTTAAATATATCCTATAATAGGATTCAGAGGTCTTTTTTATTATGAGCAGCATTGTATTTGATATTGTCTATAATGTGTAATGGTTCAAAAGTAGATTTAAATGACAAACCAGCGAAGTTTAGACCTTTTAAAATGTTGTGTTGTACTAATATCATTGATAGTCATCTATTAAGAAGTTTAACAAGTGCTTTACAAAAATATTCAAGTAATATTATAGGACAAGTGTTATTTAGGTCATACTCTTATGGTTTGGGTTTAGGAATTAGATACACAAAAGTGTGATTCTAATGATAGGTATTGATGAAATAAATAAGCATCCACATATAATATACCAGAGTATCTTTTTTGTTACTTTCATTAGAGACTTTTAATGGATCTGAAGCTTTGCCATTCAGAAGGTATTTAATAAGATCATAATATTCATCTATTATAGAAAGACTTATTATATCTCTATAGATTGTCTCATCTATATTCTCAAATGGTTAATAAAAGGAAAGCCAATCATCATCCAATAGAACATTTTCATGAGAAGTATTCACCGCTATTTGGAAGTGTTTAGCAACTTCATTATTTACATCTGTTTCATCTATTAACAAATCACGTGATAATGAGATATTATCTATGCAGTGATCAATAACAATTGTTCATTTATAGTAGTTCAGTAATGAGTTAGTCATTTTAGCAGAAGAAAGCTGATAGTTTTCCAATCTCTTTTCAATTGCAAGCTGAATTGATTTTAATTTAAATTCTTGTTCATGTAGCTTAGATTTGACAAGAAGGCAATTAAACAACAAATCAATAAACGGACATATTGATTGCGTGATTATGAATAGTGAATTTGGGGTAGTGATACATATATTATTTTGAACTCATTAAGAAGTGTATAGAATTTTTCAATTGATATTGACCACTGAACAGGAACTAGTGAAGTGATCAAAATTTTTTTAACCAATTTTTTGATTTTATAAAGAAATTTCAATTTCTTATATAATTTTAATAAGAGTAGTGGTCTTTTCAAAGTGTGTTGCCCTTTTGATTTATGAAAAGGAATTGAAGAATCTGCTGCTTTAACAATGCATTCTTGTAATAGGTCCTAAAAATAATTCAGCTTATTTTGATTGAAAATAGTATTATTGATGAGATATCGCAAGTAACATCCTGTAGCTAAAGCGTCAAATTTATCACTGAAGGCTGCCCATTTATTTTCAGACATCATGTCAAAGTCATATGTCTTTTTTAATGGAATATTCCTTTTATTATTTTTTATATCCAAAAAGTTTTCAATACTAAGAATAACAATCAAATGGTCAGATAGTATAGGGGTGATGTCTCCAATATTGCAACTTGTAAGATTAGAGATAATATCGACTAAAGACTAAATATAGTCAATACATAATGTCAAAAATGGGCTTTGGTAAGTATAATATTTAACTCATTGTTAATTATATTTAATAGAAAATGTATCAAATAAGTTAAAATTGGTGAGGGTAGAAAAAAAGTTTTTATCTTGTGAGTGTAACTTAGGATTGTTCATGTCAGTATTAAAGTCTCCTAAAAGCATCATGTAAAAATTATTTGAATAGCCATCTCTGATAAATTTTATAAGATCTATTTGTATTTGTTTTCTGAGATTAGGATTACTAGGTGGAAGATAGCAGTTAATAATTCTTAGTTTCTGTTTATTGGCGAATTGTAGATTCACTAAAATAATTCTATTGTGTTTAGATTCATAATGAAAAATATAATTTGCCAAAAACAGTTGAATCAATAGACTATACTGAAACCAGTTTTTTGATGATAAGAGTCTGATGACAATTCAAAGAAGCCAGTAAACTTTGATGAAAACATGTAGTTAAAAGGTTAAATGGAGGTTGCAGAAAAGTTGGTTTCTTGGAATTCAATAATATCTAACTTGAGAGAAGAATATAATTATATAAGTGAGTTTTGTTTAATAACATTAGTAAAAGATCGAACATTATAAAAAGCGAAAGAAATAAAGAGGAATTGGTATTAGAGATAGGTTGTGTATCTTGTGCAATATTATCTGTAGAGACAGTATTCATAAAAAAGGTTTTAAAAGATTAGAAGTTCCTTAAGAATGTTTCTGATATCACTATAGAAAGCATCTCCAAGTGAAAATATTGTGTTTGCTAGATCTTTAGGAAGCAGGTCATTATGAATAAGAATGGATTAAAAAGTGGCATATGATTTGACCAAAGTATTAACTGTGGTGGTGAAAGATTTCAATCTATATTGATGCATTTCATTGAGGTTTTTGAAGCCTTTAATTGTTTTCCATTGTTGAATGATCATAGATGATGATATGACAATAGATGGTTCAACTTTGTCAAAATCCATAGATTCAGAGTCTTGATTTTTAATTTCACTTCAAGTGGAATGACTACTTTAAATTACAAGTAATCTTCTACTACTTTAACTCTCGTGATGGTGAAGTTCAAGTTTTTAATTAACTGGCACATATTATCATTGAGAGCTAAAAATTGCTGTCTAATGTAGGTTTTAAAATTCTCGTTATTATTTGCATACATTGAGTCACCTTTCTTTGTGCCATTATTAACAGTTATGGAATAGATATAGGTGTCTGTATCCTTATAAGATGTTCCATATAAATCCTCAGGGATGTCATCAGGCTATGATGAAGGTAGTGGGTCAAATGAACCATTCTTGTTCATATTTTGTATGTTTGAAGATGAAGTTTTAACAGGTTCATGTTGATATTGGTCCTTTCTATTTGGTTGAGAGTCATTGCCTTTTATCACGTGAGCAAATAATATATTAGGACTGACTGTGCCTTTAATTTTTGGAGGCATTTTATAGTTATTATATTGAGCAGGTTGAAAACGTTGGTAAAGTTGTTATGTATTACAGTCAGAAGGTGATTTGTATTTCCTAAGACAATTATTAACTTTATAGTAAGAGAAGGAGTAAATAGCACAAAGTTTAGCATTGGATGCAGTCCAAGTCACATGCTTCTTATCAATCATAAGATTTTTATTGCTGATCGCAGCTTCTACATCATCATCTGATTCAAAGTAAAAGAAGACATGTTAAAGATTATGGTAGTTAGACCATAATTTAGGAATAATCCAAGAGATAGCATTAATTATATATCTAATGTCTTCAAGTTATTTATCTGTAGTGAAACAGGGAAGACCTGTAAGCTTAGCGAAAATTTAAATCTTGCTAGAATTTCACCACGAGTTAAGTCATATACATAGCATTGCACTATATCATTAAAAATAAATACTCTGTATTTATTTTTCAAGTTTTTGAAGTTCGTATTACTACTAAAAGTAATTGTGGCCTGTTGCGAAAGTTCTTAATTTCCATGATGAAATGGACAATCTTTTCAAATTTAGTGAAAACTGTTTTAATTCTACATTCGGTAGCGTCTAGGGGTTATTTCTATGACTTTAATTGATTGATTCGGGATATATGAATGTTGTGTAATAATGTTCAAGGGTGAAAATGTGTGGTTATCCATTCCAGATAAATTTACAGTGCATGCATGATCCTATGTTTTTTGTTTAGAATGATATTTTAATTATTCGTTCTGATTGGTTTGCAGGGTTTTTGGTAACAACTGCATCTATGAACAATCATATGCATTAAAGAGCAGGTCAATAACAAAATAACAAAGGATATTTTTTGTTGAGATGATTTTTCAGGAGTATCATTTAGAGGAAAAACACGTGATAAGCAGGCTTAGGTCTGTCAAAAGCTTGTGAAGACTTGTAAATATCATCAAGAAAGTTTTCGGAAAGGTCATACGCTTTGTCAATATCAAAAGGTATTGGAATAATATCATATTCTTTGTTTTTACCTTTTTCTAAAGGTGTTGAGTCAACTTCAATAATTTCTGGAGGTACGACTGTTGTTGAATTACTTGGTGTTAGAGTAGATTCTTTAGTTTGTGTAAGGTTAAATTTTATTCGAACTGTTTGAAATATTTTTGTTGATATGTAGAGATGCAAAGTGACCTCATTATTTGGAGTTCTTTCTCTTAGATGCCATATTGAAAAGGAGTTTTTCTACTTTATTTTATTTTATTTTTTTTTATTTTCAGTACGTAGTGTTAGATGAGACATTAAGACTAAGGATCGTAAGTACCTATATTGTCAGTCTCACCCCTAGGTCTCCGCTAGTCATTCCTGCCATTGGCAATCTACACCATTGTAACTGGCTCAGATATTACTATCGCCTTTAGTGATGCTTAAAGATGGGAACTGTAATTAATATGTTGCAACTTTTAATGTTGCAACTTACGTTGCAATTAGTTTTAACCTATATATGTTGCAACTAATTTTAGCTTATGTTGTAACATTTTGTAAATTTGAAATCAATTGCTGTATCATCTTTAGTGGTGCTGTTGCTGGCTTGAGCCCATTAGGAAAATTTGACCTCCCCTGCTGGTTACCAGCTATCCGGGATCACATATCACTATAGGACTGAGGGATCCATTATATCATATACCTTGCTAGAGTATACTCTTACCCTAACTAATACCACAGGATTCATAGGATTATTACCACAAGATTTGCCCAAACGATGAACTAGAAGGGTGATGATCAGGCCATATCGACAAACATCTTAGAAACCGAACCTAACCTCAGACCCAATGATATGCTCGATTAGATGATGCTACGGCATGCAATGCAGTTTATTATCACCATTGATCTAATCTACTAATTTCTGGTCAATCATTTCCTTAATTGATACATGTAATTATTTCTTATGAAATAACCACGTACGGAAATAAGGGTCCCTATCATGTGAGAAGGGAGATTGTATCCATTACAGACCAATCAGCGAAGGCCAAGTTTCTATTGATTCCTAGCTTTATTTGCTTTCCCATGTTCTAACGCTGTGCAGTATTTAGGCATGATCAACATTGATTGATGGATCGATCAACCAAAATCTAACACATATTAGTATATACGCCCACTTGTTCAGTTACAAAGATACCTAAACTATAGCCTATCGCTTGCTTATAGCTTAATAGGGACTTGCGGCTTAACCACTGAGCAAGGAATGCTAGTCCTGTTCTTCTTTATTTATTTTATATATATATATATATATTATCATATGATTATGTTTAATTTTGATTGATCAATTTTTAAAATCTGAAATTACTTTAAATATATAAAATATAAAAAAAATTACTTATTTACGTATTTAAATGCAAAATTATACTTAATATATATAAAGAAAAAAAAAAGAAAAAATTGCCAATTTTTTTTAATAACTATCACTATGGTTATTTATCATTATTATCCATTTCATCTCCACTTCCTTCGCTTTCTTCATCATTATTTTCTACTATTTTATCTATTTTTTTTTCTTCTTCTTCTATCTCTATTTTATCAGAAGAATCATTATTATTATCTTTATCAAAATTCCAGTTTTCAGCTCTGTGCAAAATAATATAATAATAAATAAATAAATGCATTAAATTTTATGCAAGTTTATGAAGTTTATGAAACTTATTATATTTTATAAAACTTTTGGTTTTATAAGATTTTCAGAAATTTTTATATCTTAGTTAGAAGGATCCAAAAATATCTCACATATAATTGCAAACGTGATTTTTATGCAAGGGATATTTTTTTTGCCAAACCATATCTTATTGATGATCTAATTCATAAACGAACTACCTGATTCTCTTCTTTTAAAGAGATCAGTAAAGCATTTACTAACAGTCAGGTTTTTTTTCTATTGTTGAATATGTGAAGCTTTTGAACTGGTATTAATTTGAGAAAAATTATAACTATCAAAAATAAATACAATGCCTTTTTGACCTTGAAGGTTAACATTTCATGAAAGCTTCGAAGTTTACTTATTAGCTATTAAAAAACAAAGATTGATGAGATTGATTTATAACTTTAATAAATGATTTAAAATCATTTTTTACTCTTTAATGAATTTTTTCTTCATAATAAACTATTCATCTATTCTTCTTTTTATATTTTCTAATAAACTTCTCATATTCTTCAGTAAAGAACTTTTCAATTGTTTTTCTCATTTCTTCTTGTGTTAGATATATCTACATATTTATGAGGATTTTTGCAATCTTTAGAATAATTTTCTAAGAAGTTTAATAATTAGAATAGTTAGCGTAAATTTGCAATATGTATATATTAGTTTTTGAAATTAATTCACATGTGAATACCTCTATGAATTCTTTAGTCTTTTCAACTTGATTATCTTTATTATTATTATCTTGTAATAATTTTTCAATCTTTGAAATATGCTCTTTAAGAACTTTTTGACCAGAAATTAATGAATCGAGAAAAAAAATAACAAATTAAAGAAAAAGATGATTTTTTAAGTAGAAATAGGAATAGATTTAAATAATTTTTGAGATTGATTTATATAGGAAATGAAAAACTAATATTTATTACTAATAGAAAAAAAT